TTCGACATTAGGGATATCAAGGTTTCTGTGGATGATGCAATTCACTGATTGATGAATGGCAAACTCAGGACATGCTGGGTTGACTACCTTCACGACCAGGTAGGGTCCTGATAGCTTCAGATGACGAGTCTTTGGTAACCTGAACAACTACCTCTACCTTCTAAGGATTACTCCTCCCTTCCTTTACTATCCCTATTAAGCCATGTCGCTCCTTTTACCTTCGTTGGTATCATCTCGACGGCCTAATTGTCGATGAGCTGCTACTCATTTGGGATACAACAATTTGTCATTTGCCATTACGCTCTGAATGTGTTTTGACGTATCGAGATTTCCCAACAGGATGATTCAGTTATTTTATAGGCTCCATATTGTGATGGTCCATTACCAATGTGGGGGCCACAATAGACTCACTTTCTACCCCGTGGCCTAACAATAAGAGCTTTGAAAATATCAAAGCATTCTCATGTGAAATAACCATCCTTTTATAGTCATATGTTAGTCGTCATCACTAAGATAAGCAAAAATCCTTTAATCTTGAGTATTCTTAGGAAACCCCCAATATTTAATTAACCAAGTGGGATACATCCCTTGGGAGCACTCTAGACCCCATAATTGACAAGCACCCCTGAATCTCTAGTTGTGGGTAGTCTGCGTACGTATTCATTTGTGGATATTGATCTAAGGTGCTTTTACTCAATCTTCTTTGGGCAGACATACTTGACATATCCTCGTGAGGTTTATCACATGTAGGCTCTCCACTTTCTTTCTCTCTTTTTTTTGTCTTTATGTATATCTATTTTTCTAGTTGTTTTCTTCTCCTGATCATTCACATAGTCAAATTAAGACTCAAAGCTAATTCAAACTTAAAGTTAAGATTTAAACTTTAACTAATCCAATTCAAACTCAAAACTAAATCAAAACCAAATTAAAGTACTTAAATCCACTTTATCTCTTTAGTATGATGCATTTTTCTCCACTAGTAAGGCAATCCCCATCAGAAACAAATTGCTATTAAAAGCGGAACTCTTCCAAAAAGCTAGTTAGGCCACTTTTGAGAACTTAAAATCAAACCTAAACCCAATTGAAACCCCAAACATAAAATTCATCTTGAAATCATTAATAATTTGAATTGGAACCACCCTTGGAAAAAATTAAATAAAGAATAAAAAAAATTAAAGTTTAAAACTTAAGGATTAGAATAATTATATCAAGCCAACTACACACGCATTAGATAGATTGTGAGAAAACCAACCTAGACTTAATTTAAAAAAATGATAACTGGTTGTGAATGATTATTATGATTGTTTGTTTTATTGTGATATGAGGAATGCCCTTTTGGACTAGATGCTAAAATGGTCGCTTGTGCATAGGCTAGATATTAGATGGAATATTTTTAGCAGTATGATATTTATTTTCTATAGGAGGTCATGCTTAACAAGGCAGTTGTTAAAATAAAATATTAAATTGACACATTTTATGTAAGTGCTAGTTAGAGAGTTTGTGTTTATAAGAATAGCCTAATAGGAGAAAGTACTTGGTTCATGCTAATGCTAAACCCATTATGTTTGTTATATTTGTGCTAATTATTTGTGTGTCTCTCCTAATAATCTAATTTTGTAAATTTAGTTGGTTTTTCTTTTTAGAATTTCTAAGTAATTTGTATTAGAACTAGTTTAGGGCCTATGTGTATAGGATGAGTGAGAATGGATTGTAATAGTCTGTGATGCCTTGCAAAACTTGGAAAACTTGAACCATAAAAGAACCATAATAGGAAAACACTAAAAAGACAAACTGAAGATAAAAAAATGAGAATATCGACAAACTAATTTATAATTCTAAGTTTGTGTTATATAAGTGTTAACCTCAAAACCTTTTTTTCTTTTGAGTGTATAAAACAACTTGGTGATATTGACATTTTATTTTATATTTTTCTTGTGTGCCTTGATGTGTTTTAGTTCAATTGCGTATTGGAACTATGTACATTTTCTCAAGTATTTTCCATGATTATGTGTTTAGAATAGTCTGATCTTTCTTATCAGGCTCTTAGAGTAAAATAGTTTTTCTACCCAATCTAAGAACTTTAACATAAAAGTTAAACTAATTAAATAAAAAAAATTAAATTCAAAACCTATGAGCTTAAATAATATAGTCAATTAGAAATCCTAGGGATATCATAACCTTCTGCATTTGTATATAAGCTTCATTCCCTTCTTCAACACGCCTCCCATGCATATAAGGGAGTATCTGATTAGTGAATAAAATTTCCCTTCATGAGAAAGACTGTAAATATGTTGATGGCCTTAAATTTGATTTTATGAGCATGCATACATACAATAGTTGCACACACAAAAACTTCAAAATAAAATCAATATTTGATTAAACTAATAAAATATAAAAACTATAAAATCATATATTAGCTAGGTGCTTATTTACCTAAGCCACTCAATCTTTATGACTAGGTTATTTGTCTCAATTAATACTATCTTACTAATCAACTGATTCATGTGACTGAATTCATAAGTTTAAAGCATACATGGATTAGCTAGCTACCCTTTCAAATCAAAGTTGTAAGCCTAGAAGCCAAATTTCACTCCTAAATGGAACTAAAGTTCATAAGTCCCACTTTTACTCTTAGACTAGGTTCATACTCTTTCCTTATATTGGTAGCTCTTATCTTTGTTTAGGTTTTGAAGTGCTCTGTGTTCTCCTTCCTATAATATAAATCCTCACCTTCTAGGAATTTTCATAACTTTGTGTCATTAGAATATAATCCCTAAATATCTAATAAAATGAACAACTAAAAAAAATCTCATTTTTCAATATAATCATCCCACTATTGAGATAGATTATTTAAGATGAGTCAAATTTTCACGTCTTTATTTTGAACAAACTAACTAATAAAAAAAATTTTGGCTAGATAATTGACCATGTATTCAATAATAAAAATAAAATACTTAATAATAACAAAAAAAGACTTTAATACAACAATAAAAACTAAATCCCATACATTAAAAGGTGGTTTTTGGCTAATACTCATTGGAGTAATAACACAAAGATACAAATTCTTAAGCATTTTTATTTTAAAAATCAATTATAAAGATGAATAAATCTATGAATAACTTTTTGCACAAATCTTGCAAGTCTCCTTTTTTATCCTGACCTCCAATATATGCCCAATGTAAGAATCCTAAAAGAGAGCTATCCCAAATTTGCCATTGGTCATTACCAAATCCCTTTAATTCATCTTAATAAATTCCTTATATATGTCTCCATCAAATCCTTCAACATTTTCAAGTTTTTATAATGAATTTAGGGAAAATTTTGAGATAGTGCCCTACAAGACCTGAGTTCTAGGGAATAGCACCTAATTGTTGAGCCCTCGGTCCTTGCATGTGCTGGTAATAAAGTGTGGCAACTACGCATTATGGTTTAGCCCTTATGCACTATGCTCTTACATTTTTGGTATTTTCCTAGCACCAAAATTCCTTGTTTTGGTACCTATACATTGAACTCCTAATCTTTCATCCTTGATCTAATGCTTGGGTGCATAGATTGGGCACTTAAGCATTGAGCTCTTTATTATTTGACGCCTAAGCAATGAATCAAACTCCTAAATGTCAGCCTGGTTTCTAATCTTATTTGCTCCAAATTGCATCAATCGTGCATCAAATTTGATCGAATGAAAGTATAAACTAAATGCATGTGTTTTATTCTATTTTTAGCTCTAATATCGTGTTTACTTAGTAAGTTTAAATTTGAAAATTTAAAATATTAGATATAAGCAAATCACATGCAATTAAGCTTGAAATTAATAATATAAGTTGGATTAATTTGTTACAAATCACATGCCACTCAACGCGACGTGTATCAACATGAAGTTTCTAATAAAAGACCAAGTGATAAAAATGGGTGGTGGCTTACCTCAACCAGAAAATTGTTGCCTAAAGATTGTTAATAATGTATAAGGGGGCGTGTTAAATATGAAAAATCCAAATAAGTTCGAATTTAGGGTTCTGTGAAGAAATTAAGAAAGTGTTATCGATTTAATGTATAATCAACTAACAAGAAAATAAAGTTGGCCATGATGACACAAGTTGGCCCAATCTCCAAAGGAGTGCAAAAGTACTTGATATCAGATTTATTAAAGAAGAACAACACCCAGAGTGGATCTCCAATATGATGACATGAATAAGACAAATGGAAAGTGAAGTATGCGCATACACTTCACTAACCAAAACTTAGCCTATCTTATGGATAGGTATCCACGAGCTTACATAGATACCCTATCCAATTTTGTAGTTAGTTGTAATCACTAACCAAAACTTAGTCTATCTTATGGATAAGTATCCACGAGCTTACATAGATACCCTAGCCAATTTTGTAGTTAGTTGTCCTATTTTGAGTTTCTTGGATGCATTTTTAGGATGAATTGGTTTGAAAAGATGTTCGAGATGTGTTATATTATTGTAATGCCTTGTCATTCAGACTCATGAATGCAGGGCAATTTGTTAAAAAACAATTCCTACTAAATATGAGTTTGACTATGTATTTGTGTTATATGCTTATATGTATAGTTCATTTTGTAGCTTTTTTTTTGTAGCGCTTGTGACCACTAATCCCTACATATCGTATTAAAGGAGATCACAGGAGGGAGAGGTTGAGGGCTTAAAATTTTGGGTGTGGCATCCTTCCTCAATTTACTTTAGCATTCGAGTTTTTTAGAGAATTTTCAGCTCTCTTGAGTTTGTAAGATTTTAGTGTGACCTACATACTAAAAATCAAATATTAACATTATTATAATTATCATATTCTATTAATCTTGTTTTAAAAATTATTTTAATATATTCTTTAAATATTTTAAACTTTAATAAAAAATAGATATAATAAATATTTAAATAGAAACATTATATTAAAAAACAGCCCAATCTATTCATTCAAATTATAGAAATGCCCGAAGGTGTTTAAATAAATGGGCTGCACACGGATAACACCAGCCATACGCCCATACGAGCCACACCACTTCACGTTGCCACATCCAATTTAAACATGGGACGCACAAACAGCAGCTGCATTAGCACCAGGGCAGTTGATCCCTCGCGCCCATTCGACGGGGGCGAAACCCTCTAAGAAGCAAAGCCGGTTCTAAAATCCAAAACCCTTCACCAAACTTTTCCCGCCACGGATAGCGCAACCATACAGGACGGCGAGATGAAGCTCTTCGAGAGGAAGCAAGCGATCTACAAAACCCTAGTACTTCTACACCCTCTTCTCTCTTGTAAAATGTTTTCTCTACGCGAATTTCTCTTCCTCAATTTGCACGTCATCCCTTCATGTTCATCTGCGACTGGTCCCAGGATGAAAGGTATTTGATCAATGGGCAAAGGTACAAGGGGCAGCAGTACAGCCAGATCTACTTTGCTCGCCTTCACCACTTAAGGAATTTACTGCACTCTCCTGTGACCAACTGGAAGCCTCATCTCCAGGGCAGATACTTTGTCTTCTTTTCGTTCTTTGCTTCTCTTGCAATAATAGCTAAGGTTATCTATTTCTCATTCCGTGAAGATTTTTCTGTGCTCTGGGTTTTAGCCCCAATGGTTGGGCGTGCGTGTAAACTACTTGAAGTTGAGTCTGGCTTCATTTTGAATAACTGGGCGAGTTCAAACTTTAGTGTAATAGAGGAGTTTGATCTGGATCACATATCTGTTCTTCTTCTTATGAAATAGAGATTTGAGGAGGTGCATTTCTGGAAACATGGAAATAATAAGAAGTTTGGTGAGAATGAATGACAAATTTTGATACCAGATCATCAAATTTGAAGGCGTATATTTGTATACATAATTCTAATTCAATTTCTTTTTAAAAACCCAAAATATAGTTTTAGATTCAAAATCATACGCGGGTGGTATAGGACCTTAGTACCAAACACGAATGATGTTTAACAGAGAGTGAAAACTAGTGGGAAAATCTTTTAGGGTTTCTTCATAATTCTGTAACAAAATACATATAAATGCCGCCTTAACTACCGAATATGTCATAGTTAGCCTTTGATCCCTTATTTATAGATTTCAGGTTGGCATTATTGGAATGACTAAAATTGATTAACTCAGATAATATTAAATAACATAGCTCAATAATGCTTATTGTAAAAATTTCTAAGTCATTCTAGCTATTTGCTAAGTAATTTGGTAACTATTGATTAGTTGCAAATTGATAATGAGATCATTGAGGAAGAGTTCTATTGGTAAAATCTCTGGCAAATTTTCTAGTGAGCTCCTTTTGGCGAGATAATTAACGAGTTCTCTGTGACGCCTCATTTAATCTCCTTGAGGGAGTCAAAAGGAGGGAAATGAAGCGAGGGATCGGGAACTCAGAGGGCATTTCGTTCTATAAAACTACACATATGAGGGAGGCAGGGGTGAGATCGACTTACCTGGAGAGTCGAATGGTGCGCACGAAGGCATGGGATCGACGGGCACAAGCTAGGGCTTCTCCGTGCATCAATCGAACTTTAGGCTGTGCATTGTATGATGAAAGGATGTGCTCTATAATTTTTTGATAGTTTTTCATATGACAAGTATTGTGTGATAGGATGTATCGTGCTCGTTCGAATTCCTTTATGAAAGCAATTGGAAGAACAAGATCAGGAGTGGAAGTAGAGGGAAGGTTACTCTGAGTTGTAGGGCCATTATTCGACAAAGGTGATTGAACATCTGCTGAGGGAATAACTGGGGCGAATAATAACTGGGGCTGTAGTAACTTTATGAAATTTCTTCCTAGTATAAACCTGTAGCTTATGTTGAGGATTACGATTCTCTCCCTGTCTATGATAAGGTAACATCTGACAAAAATTAATTAGTAGTGCTGACCCTAGTTTCCAAATCAGAATTAGTTAAAGGAATGAGTAAAATTTCTCAAAAATTATTTTCTTCAATTGAGTTCTCTCTCTGAAGAAAATTGTTTTGAAAAAAAGGGTGATTCTCGAGAAACTTGACATCCATGCTCTCAAAATTTTTTTTTTACAGGATTAAAGCATTTATACCCACATTTATTGGAAGCATATCCAATAATAACACATTTTTCAGCTTTGGGATTAAGTTTTGAGCGAAGCACATTTGGGACATGCATATAGCAAACACATGAGAAAAATAGTTTTTTAACACTTGTAAAGGTGTTTTAAATTTCAGAATTCGAGATAACATTCTGTTTATTAAATAATCGGAGGTAAGGCGTACATTACCCCAAAAATATTTAAAAACATTAATGGAAAACATAAATGCCCTGGTAAGTTCAAGTAAATGCCTATTTTGTTCTTCAGCAGTATCATTTTGTTGTGGTGTGTCACGACAAGTGGATTGATGCTGAATACCTTTTTCCAAAATAAAATTCTCAAATATTTGTTGAAATATTCAGTCTCATTATCCGTTCTTAGAATGTTAATTTTTGTTTGAAGTTGATTTTCAATTATGTGGACAAAATCTTTAAATCGTTGTTCAACTTCAGATTTCTTTTCCAATAAATACACCCAGCAAACTCGTGTGTGATTATCAATAAATGTTACAAACAATTTTATTCTAGAAAGTGTGTTAACTTTAGATGAGCCCTAAACATCACTATGCACCAAATAAAATTATTTTGAAGCAGAATATGATTTTATTGGAATCGAAACACGATGACTTTTAGATAAATTACACGCTTCACAATGAAGTTTTGAACAATCAATATTTTTAAATAGTTTAGGAAATAAAGATTTGAGATATGGAAAGCTAAATAAAGATTTGATGAGATATGGAAAGCTAGGATGCCCTAATCTTTTATGCCATAACTTGATCATAGTCAAAACTTGAACTTGTATTACCTAATCCATGAGTTGTTTTATTCACAGAATAAGTTCCATCATAGTAATACAACCCATTTATTTTTATACCAGTTCCAATCATCTTCCCCGAGTTCCGGTCCCGAAAAACACAATTGGAAAGAAAAAAAGAATGGAATAATCAGAATCTTTAGACAATAATTTGCTAACGGAAAGAATATTACATGTAAGTTTTGGAACATGTAAGACAGATTTCAAAGAAATTTTTTCTGAGATTTTAATATTTCCTTTTCTTGCAATAGGTGAAAAACTGCCATCAGCTATTCGAATTTTTTCGGAACTGGAACATGGATAATATGAATCAAATAATTGAGAACAGCTTGTCATATGATCGTATGCTCCTGAATCGATGGTCCAAGGAGTGGTACTTTCTAGAACAGATAAAGCCAAAGGATTACTACTTGTTTGTGCTATAAAACCGATAGGAGCATGAGATGATGAGCAAGATTTCAGCAGTTTAAGAAGATGACTTAATTGCTCTTTACTAATTTGGGATGACTCGGCCTCATTTGCTGTAGGTGTGCTATATTCACCAGGTTTTTTCCCTTACCATTAGGTGGTTTACCATGCAACTTCCAACATTTTTCTCGAGTATGACGTGGTTTTCCACAATAGTCATGTCGCAGGTTGTTTTTGTCTTCTACATGCTGGTTGTGAGAAGTTTTCCTGCTTACTTGAACTTGAGGAATAGCCAGTGCTGATCCTTCCACGGACTCGGTTAAACCTGCAGTCTTCTTCCCTAACATCACATGTCTCCGACTCTCTTCTTTCCTTACCTCCGCAAAAATTTCACCAATTGGAGGCAGGGGATTTCTTCCAATTATTCGGCCACGGACCTCATCATATTCAACATTTAGCCCTGCAAGGAATTTGAAGATTCGACCAGTATCCACTATCTTCTTGTACTGGTTACAGTCATCATTTGATTTCCACTCATGATCACTGAATAAGTCCAGGTCCTACCAAATTTGCTTAAGAGAATTAAAATATTTTGTCGCAGAATCCTCACCTTGGCAAATTTCCCCAAGTCGTAGTGTCAACTCGTAAACTTGGGATTGATTTTCAAGATCAGAGTACATTTCTGAAATATTGTCCCATAATTCCTTGGCTGTACAGAAACACAGTAGAGTAACACAAATAATTTGCACTTATCTCTTCAGTCATGGAATTGACTAACCATGTCATTACCATTGAGTTTTATTGCTCGCATCTCAAATAACATAAGTTATGTCATTCACGTCAGACTGCTTAGTATCACCTGTGATATAGCCAATCTTTCAGCTTTCTCGGAGATACATGCGAATAGATTGTGACCATTAAAGAAAATTATCACCATTTAGTCGGATTGTAGTGATATGAATGGAATGGTTTTCAGATGTATTTCTCTGAGGTTCAGACTGAGATGGCTGAAGAGGATGGTTTGTCCTAGACGTAACTCCAAACATTTTAGAGATGAAGAACGGAGCATGCAGTAGGATCCCGAGATTCGCCAGTCGAAGAAAAAAGTTACCGCCTTTGCCGTTGAACGGACTTCGAGATGCGGAATTGCTTCGTCAACAACGTGTGCGATCCTTGCTAGCAAGATGTGATCCTCTCGAGCTCTGGTTGCAGTTGCTTTGCGGAATTTCGGGTCTCTGCGCTGAAGGACTTGGATACGACGACGAAGTAGAAAAATGGAAAAGCGGATTTTGGGGTCTCTGCGTCAATCACGATCCCGTTTGCGCCGATCACGATCTCGTTTGTGCCGAAGGACTTCGAGGCGACGACGAATACGATACGCACGCCAATTAACTGAACGCCCCTGTGTCGATCACAATCCCTTCTACGCCGAAGGACTTCGAGGCGACGACGAATACGATACGCACGTCAGTTAACTGAATTCCCCTGCGGATCAGAATCTCTGATACCATGCAAAAAAGTGGAAAAATATAAGAGGATTTTTTCTTATTGATGCAAAGAGGTGTATAAATATCCATTACAGGACTTACTGGTAAAGAAAACAATAAAAACAAAATACATTAGATAATGAAAGGAATAAAAATAAATATAAGGGACAACTAATTTCTCTAATTAAAGAGAGAAATAAATAGAGATTCCTAAGATCCCTCATACAATTTATAACTCTCTAAATATAGAGTTACAACAAATATGAAATATAATCATAATTATTTACGAGATCTTTCAACAAGGTCAATTATTATTTTCATTTTGTTGTTGTTTAATCTTTATAATTTAGTCAATGCTCTGTAATCTCATCTCTCCACATAGGGAGAAGAGTAAAATTCCATTATTTAAGTATGTAGTGAATTATTTTAACTAGCCGGATCCCGCGATTTTTTTGCTTTTCAGGTTTTCTTTGTAAAATCATTGATGTTATCTCTTTCAACTTTTGTTTTATTTGCGTGTGTTGGATCTTTGTAATTTTCTAGTATCCATTAATTTAGTAAAATTATCAGTAATATTTATTTTAATTTGATATTTGAGTACTAATGAAAGTTGTTAAGTATTTTTAGCTAATTGGTGGCTAGGGCTAAAGTGCTCCATACTTTTAAAGTCTTACTTAAAGTGCTTAGCCTAAAGTTCATCTGAATGCGAATGCAATTGGATTATATTTGAATATGGAAGTAGAAAAAATTAGTGTATGGATTATTAACTTAAAGTTTTATATATTAGTAAATTTAATAGTTTGTAATTGCAACTTTATAGCAAAAGAAGAAGCGGGATGGATCATGATCCTCTTAAAAGTCAATTTCATGTAAAATATAATAATGCTTTGATTCATAGATACAACTATAATGATATCCTGGACTTCATTTCTCTAAATAATATAAATGATGCTAATGAGTGGATAACATAAAAAATGATTGATCAGTCAGATGAAGATAATTAAGTTGTTATTGGTGAAAGAATACTGACATTGAATACTGTTGCACAGGTTATACTTTTTAAGAGCTGTCTAAATTCAAAGAGGAATCTTCATCTAAGCCGCTTAACATTATTGCAACCGAATATAAAGATGATGAGAGTTATGAAAAAGGTTATAATTTAGGAGATGATGATGATGTTAATGAATTAATGAGGCTTTTTGACTTATTATGATGATGATTTTTTGGATGATATTTTAATATCTTACGAAAATATTATTTTTAAAAATAAATAAACGATTTTGAATTTTAAACAATTGAGGTTATGACTGCAAGAATTATTTTTTTTATTTTTATTATCATTATATTATATCTTTCAATTTAACATTCTTTTTATTTTTCTGTATTTTATTTATATATTTTTTTATTATCTTGCACCGTGTCTTTAAAATGGCACGTGCCATGCATTATAACTCCATAGTGACTTCTGCCATTCGCCATTACTAAGTACAATCAGAACTATCATTCATATTTCTTCTTCTCGATTTGTTCTGCAGAGTAATTAGGGGCTTCTAGTTACGCAAAAACAATTAAATTTGAGGAAATTTTTTGGTAGCTGTTGCCCTTAGGGGCTGCAACTTCGTAGCCTCATTTGTATTAGTTAAAATTTCAATTATTAGTATGGAATCTTATTTGTGTTATATATTCAATAATTTTGTTATTTGTCTTTGTCTTATAGGATAATTTTGTCATTTGGCTTTATTTATCATATAGGATTATTTAATCATTTTAAAAATTTATTCATGAGTAGATTTTTTTTTTTATTTTAATAAAGCCAATTTCTTATAAATAATGTTCAAGGTCTTGTAATTCATTGTACATCGAAGATGGAATCAAGAAAAAAAAAAAATTCCTCTTAAGGGAATGGTTCTCCTTTCAGAGCTTTCCTCCTGCTTTATTGCTCTCCATCTCACGCCTTATTTTCTTTGAGTTGTTTTCTAGGGCAATCTTTTCTTGTGCTTTCTGCTGTCATCTTCCTAATTCTTCTCCTATTCCAGATTCTTCTCTTCAAATATGAAATATTAAAAAGAGTGAGAATGTTAAAAGAGAAGGTTGTTTTATTGTTATCATATTCATTAGTGATCCAATTATCTTTAATAGTGGAATAACTGCAATATTTTATGATACATAACTTTTTCTATGATGTAGTACAAGCACAATTAACATCATAAATGTTTCTACAAAAGATCCAGAAGTGGTGGCTTCAACTAAATTTGGGAATGTCATTGTCAAGTTTACTATTTGTGAACTCTTTGGTATTTTTGAAGAGGTTGGCATTGAAACGAGATCTGCTTTTGATGGTATTATGAATGCTTGGTTCTACACATCCAGTTCATTATGGTTCTCTAAATTGAACTGCTATATGGTTCATTATGGAGTTGCATAACCAAGCATTCATAATTGCAGTTGGAGAGTGTTTTTGAGGATTGATACAGAGACGTTTTTTCTTTCCATTTCTTTTGTTGATAGTGATGTTCTTCTCCTTGATCTCTTCTTTTAGGGATGAATTTCCCATTCATCATATCACTTATAGGCTGGAATTGTCATTCATATTTCTTCTTTTTTATGGAATTTTAGTTATTTTGCAATGTAATCATGGTCTTTAAATTCTTTCTCCAGCAAAACAACCTTTTTGGGAGTAAAAGTTTTTTGTAGCCTAGAGGAATTGATACAAAACAAGATATTTAAAATTTCAATTATTAGTATTGAGTCTTATTTGTGCTAAAATTTCAATCGTTTATTTTATGCCACTTGTCTTTATTTATCATATAGGATTATTTTATCATTTTTAAAAATTTATTTATGTGTAGTTTGTTTTTAATGAGACCTATTTCTACAAATAGCGTCCAAGGTCTTATAATTCAATTTATGTTTAAGATGGAATGAAGAAAAAAACTTTTTTATAGCTTCCTCTTAACCAGTTTGTTCTACCTTTTAGGTTTCCTCCTGCTTTATTCCTCTCCTTCTCATGCCTTCTTTGTGTTTCTTCTTGTCAGTCTCATCGACTTTTTTCCTCTTATCTTCCTAGTTCATTTCCTATACTGGATTCTTCTCTTTTTAGAATATGAATAAAGGAAAAGTTAGAATGTGAATGAGAAGGTTGTTTTGTTGCTGTCATATTTATTAGAGATCACCTTTTGTAATACGGGAGTGATTACAATATTTTATGATACATCAGTTTTTGCCTTCAATGGAGCCGCAATCATAATCAGCATCATGCATACATGTTTCCTCATTCAATTGCTGAATCTTTTTATAGAGTAACCTTTTTCCAGGAGGCTTTTTTGATACATTTGAGAATTCTTACAATACTGTCCAATGTTGATGTTTTGGAGTTTGCATGTGAAGCTGTACAACTCCAACAACAAAAGAAATATCAGACCTAGTGATACATAAATTTGTTTTTTTGCTAACCTTTTATTCCAAGGCTGATCATTAAGATAATCCTCATTTTTAAAGTGATCTGAGTATCTATCGACATATTAACGGATGTCTAACCTAGAGGACCAATCATTTCATAATCAAAAGGATTAGTAGCACATTTTTCTTGAGAAAAAGATATATTTTTTTACTTGGCAAATTCAAGTCAACATAATAGTCTGGTTATCTTAGACCTTTAGTGACGAAAAGCTTTGGTACATAGTGGTACATAATCTTGGTGGCGCCGTAACCCACAAGTCCAAGTATTGGAACCTAGCTTTGATATTAAGAGGAGAAGATTGTTTGATTCTATCTTATTCACTAGATATTCTTTTATATTTTGGGGAATGAGTACAATCGTTAAGGGCACATCCAAATAATATAAACCATTCTCAAATTATCCCAAAAATTTCTTTTTCTAATATTTTTCTTTGCTCAATCTCCATTCTTCTTGGTCTTTTTATTTATATTCTTAAGGCATAGGCAAGGCTCTTCTATTATGCCACTATTAGACATTAAAGTATTGACTTACATGTGGCACATAACCAATGCAACTTGCGAATTATACAATATGTTGGAATATGATTTACAGGAATCATAAGCGTGTTTGAGCTGTAGTAGATAGAATATATAAAATTATTAAAATACCAGATTTTCATTTGTTTTGGGCTTCATTCTCTGTAGTTCTAGTTTTATATGAACACAATCGTGAAACTGGAGCCACTAATTGTGATGGACTATATTTTAGAGCTGTGGCAAAATCACTTGATGTAAATGTTATTTGATAGATCCTTGTATTATTATTAGTAAATCCATTTTATGCTTGTTGCTCACCGGTTCATATCAACAATGATTCGGTTTGGTCTTTGTGCCTTTTACACTTGGGTGAGATTGGCTCATCTGAGGAGTCTGGGCCGGATTTAGTTTGTGGATAATCTTTCCCTTCAACTATTTTTCCACAGCTCCGCTTATGCAATGAAAGAATTTGATAATGCTTGATTTGAGTGGTTTATTTATCTATTTTAATTTCATATTGATTCAGTCAATACAGTTCTTGAACTTGAGGAAAACAAAGAATGTGTTATAGTTGGAACTATCTACAAGCACATGAAGCTGAAGCCTTCAATTCTAGATGAGTACTCTAAAGAGGTTTGATGCTGATCCTGCAAATTTTCTGCATTATGATAACCAATAAAGTCATATGAGATTAAGTTCCATGGTTCATAAATATTGTGTTTGCAGAGAACTGCAGTACCACTTGTCAAACCACATAATTTTTTGCATCCGGATGACCATCTTATTTTGGAAGATGAGATAGGAAGAGTTAAACTGAAAGGATCTTTGCTTATTCCTACAGATTTTGTGACAGGTTTAGATTTGTAAATTTTTTGTCAGTAATTTATAATTTTCCGGATAAGCTACAATCCATGTCTTGTATTGAAATTTTCATCGGTTACGTTCCTATCCTGTGTGCATATTTTTTTTCTTAAATAGGAATTGGATTAGCGCTTCATGGAAAGAAAACAAGTGAGGGTGATTTTCTGGTTCTAGATGTTTTGGAAGCTGGCCTGCCCCGACAAATTAAACCGCGTGCTCAGTTAGGTACCATCCATTCTTCTCTTTCATGCATTCTATCTTATGTTCAAATATCATGTTCAGATTGCTATTTCTTAGCTGGGAGCATTAAGTGTTTTTATGTATTTTTTTTAGTTGTTTCTTTTTATTTAGGATGAATTATCTTTCGATGCTTTAAATTTACAGCATGTTTCTTTTTTTTACATGGAAGAAATTTAGCATCAAGCAGGGTGGGTTTCTTGTTCTCTTACCAAAATCAATTGAATATTTTAGCTTTTTTCATAGTGTGAACACTATCATATTCTAAGTAAATTTGGCTTAACAACAACAAGCCTTTATCCCACTAAATGGGATCAGCAACTTATGATCTTCACAATGCTTAAAAAAATCCTTTCTTTGATATATTCTTTTCTTTATACTATTTTTTAAGCTATATACTGACTTTTGTTTTCCCATGCCTCAGTCTCTGCTTACTCTATTCATTGTTGGCAATATGTTTCAGTTTGGTAACAGATTGGCCTAGCTCAGATCATTTTTGGTGATCATTTCCCTTTAGATATTTTAGCCACATGCATTTAAAGAAGCAGATAAGAGTACAATTATTAAGGAGGACATTATGAGCTCTATTGAACAATCCATTTTTACACCATTAGCAGAGAAGGGGTTGGTTGAGAGTCCTCTTCGGACGTCAGCTCCAGATATCAATAGTACAAAAGATTACATAAGGTATCCTCTAAACCGATGTACCCTAAGCCTTCTTTTTTTATTGAGGGCATATGACTAAGGTATCTAAGCAGAAAGGATCCCCAAAGATGATCAGAGCATGGGCTAATCTACTACCAAATTAAATCTAATTGCCAATTACCAACTGTGATTGCAGAAATTGGGGCCCCGTAAGAGATATGCCACTATCTAGCTTAAAGATATTATTTCTATTCAACAAGATTTTGAATTTGTATTCTATTTAAACGCTTCAATTCAATAATTTTAGAGTAATTTAGAGAATTCAAGATAATACAATCGAAGTATAGAAATTTTTAATTGACCATGCCAATTAACTATAAATTAATTTCACTAAACTATGCTCCAACTTAAAGAATGCTGCCACTATTTGAAACGGAATAAAGATGTTTGGTATGCAAATTGCAATATTCTTGCAGGATTTCCGAAGGCAAGATTGTTGACCTCATTTTTTGTGAGGTCTAGTCTTCCTCTTAGGCTTTTGGATCTAGCCTTAGGGATCTCCCTTCGACTATCTTAGAAACTTAGAAATGGAACCCACCTTGTTTTAGAAATTCAACCCGCTTCTGTACTCTTTTGTGGTTCCAAGTGTGTGGTATCGACTTCTAGCATTTAGAAGAGTGAAACCAACATGAGGAAACCCAAAAGGGATTCCTATAGGACCTTTTGAGCCTTAGGGTGGCCTTCTGCACAATTCGCACTCCCGCGCGCACAAACTTCGCAATTCGGAGAGTCGACGCGTCCGATCGCCACGATTCGCATCGCTTGCACTGCTATTCGTCGAGGGCTCTAGTAAACCTTTTGAGACAATCGATCGCGGTCGAAATTTTGTGAAATTTGAATTTTGACGCGTTTTTGACCCGATTGTCGACGACGTCGTCCGAGCGACCCCGGATGACAAAACGGACTGCGCCAACGCGTCCAGAACGTCGATTTTGCCTAGGGAGGACAC